CTACGTTATCCAGGTTGATGGTGCCTGTGTCTGAAGGCTGGAAGTGGGAAGATCTCAATAAAGGAACAATGGCTTCTACCTGCATCTCTGTCCGGGTGCCAGCCGCCCCTCCAGCCCTTGCTCTGAAGCCTGACAGCTCAGCACTTCCTCATATGTTCCTGGTACCCCATAAGCAGCTTCCCCAACACTGGAGCTCAGAACAAGCTAGTCCATCAGGGAGTAAAGCCAGCATGGGCCCTTTAAGAGGAAAGTCTCTGCTTCCCACACCTCTCTGTCTCACTCAGCCACAACCTCCTCTGGTTTTCAAATCCAGAGGTTGTTGGGGTTTCTCTTTCCAGTGCTGGAACCTTGAGATGGGGAGTCCAGTGTGAGGCCAGCACCCCTCACTCCTCAGGTGAGGGAGGGGGCTCTGCAGCCAAGATAGCCCTCCCGATATTCAGTGGCCACATGCAGTTGTGGGGCTAGGACATTCTGTGTCTTCATCCCTCCTACCATTTTGAGGTGACTTGTTTTTTGAGGTGACCTAGTTGTAGGGCTTCTGTTCAGCCAGATCTCTAGTGACTTCACATACTGGTTGTTATGTAGTTTTGTTATAATTGTGTTGTGGTCACTAGAGGAGGCATGTACAGTCTCTATCTTCTACATCATTTTGAATCTCAATCCTAAAAAAAAAAAGAATTTTTATACCTGTTGGACTTTAGAGTTTGAGGTCATTACTAAAATAAAACATGCAAAATCAGTTCCTATTCTTTATCCCTTTTTGATCATGTATTGAATAGTTCATTTAAATGGTACTGTTATTTATTAAAATATTTAAAGATGAAATTATATAATATGTTCAGTGTACTTTAATATAATCTAGGGTAAAGAGAGTGGGTGCAGGCATAGAAGAAAGAATATTGGCCAGGTGTTGGCGTTCGTCGAAGCTAAATAAAGGGTGCATAGGGGTTCATTGTACTACTGACTAGTTGTCCTTCTTTTTAAGATATTTGAACTTTTCCATAGTAATATATACATATATGAATCTGAGTGAAAAAGTTAAATATATTTAATGACCTAGGGCACTTTACACCATTTTTAACCTAGTATTATATGTTTTACTTTATCAGGCATGTTATGGGGAGTTTATTTTAAGACCAAATTGCTTCATGCTTCCATTCCCTGAGCCCAATACTTGGACCATTATTGTTTTCAGTTGATTTGTTTATTTTTTCTTGTTATTAGATTAACATTTCAAAGGTATGAAGTATACCAATCTTTGCACAAGTTGTGAATATTCAACATTGTTAGAAAGGATGAAAAATTCTCTCCATTATGTGCCAGAATCAAATGTGAAGAGCAAAGATCCTAGGTCTCTGCCTCTCAGCTCTGCTTCTGAAGCTCCTGCAAAAAAAGGAGACACTGGGCTCAGGGAGATAGTCCTAGTGACAGACACCTCCCTCTTCCAAGAAGCCATTGATCTGTTATTCTTTGAAGAAATTCAAGAAGGCAAATGTAAGGCCTTAAATAAAGTCTGTGCCTATAGATGAACCAGCAGATGTGTACAAGGAGTTAGAAAAAGAGAACTTAGTCAACAAATGGTAGAAGAAATATATCTTGGCAAAATCAAATAAATGGTTAAGATTAGAGAAATTCTGCTGAAGAAATGGTCTGTGGAGTTCAAGAAAGTTACAATGCACTACTCCCCAAAATATACAACATATTCTTTAATAACTGAGGAACAAGTGAGTTAAAATAGCCATATTAACCTGAGAGTTTGTCCTGCACTCCTCCTTTCCAAAAAATATTGTAGTTAAGACAGTGAAGTTACTTATGGGCTAGCTTCAGGAAGGCACAGAGGAGGCATATATATGATTTGATGACATTTGAAGTATGTAATGGATCCTGTATTTATATTTCATCGTTTTCTTCCGGTCTACCAAGACATTGGAAATTTCTCCTTAGGAAAGTCTTTACCACTTCCTAAGAAAATCTTTCTGCAACATCCAAAAATGTAATTCCTAACAACATGGTTGTTACAGAAGGTTCCTGGATCTTCTAAAAACACTAGATATATAGCTTAGATGAAGAGGAAGATGCTAAGGTGCAAAAAATAATAACTAGGATGAGAGAAGAGCCAGAGACAATTGTCCTGACTTCACTTTTGTTGCTTTTGTTGTTTGTTTGTTTCTTTAAGTAGTCTGTTTTGGGTATAGCAATGGAGTCAGTAGAAGATGGATGTTTTACCTTGCTAATCCACAAGAAAAATCAGATTGTCAATTCTTAACATCATTTAAGACTAAAGAGAGAACATTTTCTGTCACCTCATTTCCTTTTCTACCCTCTCATTTCTTTTTCTACCCACATATTGTACTCTAGCAAATGCAGGGCTTTAAGTCATTCAAATAAACTTGGTCCACAAGTGATAGTGGGGGAATAATCTTAATAGGGTATGGATAGCAAAAAATTTATGGGAGGAGTAGATATGTGAAGCGTGGTAGGATGGAAAAAGTGGATCATCTTTCCATTTGAGAATAACATGCACCTCTCCAGGGAGAGAAAGAAAGGGTAAAGCCTCATGGGACTTTTATCTATGTTTGACAACAAAGACAAAGATCCTCAAGTATATCAGTTTGCTTAAAAAGAGGCTAAATACACATTGACTTCGAGAGACAGAAAAGTGCTATGTAATTACAGAGACTATCTTTATTATTAAAATGTATATTATAAAGTATGGATGTAAATATTCCAGGTGCAACATTCTTACAGCGTCTTGGTAATAAAAATATGATGAAATAAAAATTAAGTGCACAAGAGTTCCACTTATGCACTCTTTCAGACCAAGGTAGCTTGATTTGTTGTTCCTATGACAGATGGCTCCTTTTAATGAAATTACAGGTTAATAGAATTAGTTACTTAACTGGATAAAAATAAAACCATATAGAACATTTGAATATAATAATAAAGACAATAATGAAAATAATAATAACATGGAAATTATTCCATATTAAAAATCTCTCTTGTTGGAATAATTATATATATATTTTGGAATCAGAACTCATATAAGTTTATATGGAAAATGTGAGGTTATTTATCTTGAATTGTACTTTACTGTAGTTAAAGGTGTTTACTTTTTGCACCCTGATTTTATTGAAATGATAAATGGGATGTTTGGAGAAAAGATTTTCCAAGGAAAGGAGAAGCTCAGAGAGGAGGCTGCTATCTGTATGGCAGCTACAGCAGTACTTCTCTCCTAGTTTAGATTTTTTTCCCTGAAAATCAGGTCCAGAGTTAGAAGGGGAAAAGATATAAATAAAAAAAATAAAAAATAAAAAAACAAGTAGATATCTGAGAAATTCATCTGAAAAGAGATCTGAAATCTCAGAGATCTGAGCCTTGCTTGTGGATATATGTCTTAGAATTTTGCATCCCCATTATGGTAGGCAACCTCGGTGATCACTTACTATGTGTAATCTGAAAATCTTCTGTAAATCCCACTTTCTTCAAACATTTTTCTCCAGTTTACTTCAGTGTCTTTAACCCCTCCATTAAAAGTGAGGGATTAACATTTTGAGTTAAGGTTTATCTCTAAAGCCTAGAATTCAGATATCCCTGGTCAAGTTAATATTAAGCTAACATTAGTCATTAGCACCTTAGTGTGAATAAGTCAATCAGTTTACTGACTAGAATAATAAAGAAATAGGACAGAGGACAAAGCATACTGATGGGGAAGAGGCGTAGATAAAGTCGACCACAGCACTGAACGCAAACCCAAAAAACCAGGCCTGGGGAGGAGGGGTGGTCCTAGCTAAGCAACATAAGAATACTGGATACTTGTCCTCTTCTCAAATGATGTAAAGGATCTGCAAGGGCTTCTATTCTGACTAATAAGAGGATTCTAACTTCAACCAACCATTTCTCTAAAAAGTTCAGTAACTTCCTGGACATATTTTTCCTTCCCTTTAAAAAAGATATGTTTAAGGTGAAATTAATATGTTAATAAAATTAAGTCATTGGTCTCCCAAAAGGACCCTAAGAAGTATAATTCATGCATATGTAGAAAATAATAAACACATAAAGTATAGACAAGTCTCTTCCATTACAAGTACTCACAAAATTATTACTTGTGATCCCATTACAACACTAGATTATTTTCAAACACAAATTACTTTAAAGCAAATAGATCAGACATAGTTACAGTTACCCTTTTAAAAACACAATTTAACACTTATTTAGCACATCAAAATATGAACATTACAATTAATAATTAGGAGGTAAATAGATACACTATTGCTAGCAGCACAGTCAGTTTTCTAATAGGATATTATTTTAATAACAAAATGCAAGCAAAATCAACACTTGTCCATAGAAAACATTAGAAAATTTTCCATTCATCTTATATATTAGAATTCATTTTGATTTCACCAGTTTTTCCCAAAACATATTAGTATCATAATTGTGTGCCTAAAACAACTCTGTTCATCTAAATATAATAAAATTCTTGGTTGATTTCCACATTCCTTCCAGATGAGAAGCAGCATGAGTCTTCCTTAAATAGCACACACATTTTGAGTGGAGCATTTTTTAAGTTAGAGCATTTGCTAAAACATGTTTCAAAGTATTATAACATGTAAGGCCTCAGATGTAATTACTATTCATGTTTAGGGTCTATTTTCTAAATACTAGTACCAAACAGGTTACAGGCAAGGCATTGTAAGTGGTGTCCAAAGCTGTAAAAATTAATCTTTTACTCTTTTTTTAAAGGTGAAAGAATTGTCTTCTCCAGCTGTTGGAAGGTAGGCTGTGCAGACCTCAGAATAGTATAAATGGGGCAAAGCTGGACCAGACAAATTACTGAAGACTAGGATCCATATGCTGGGCTGCCTCCAAACCCTACTCTGGCTTGTGAATGTAGCTTTATAGTTGCCACTTAACTTAAAGTAAGAACTGCAATGTGGTGTGAGTCTTTTAAGAGGTGTATCCAACACTACTTTATCTTTTGTTTTGGCCTGAGCTTGGTGATTAATTAATGTACTACTTCTTCCATAGACTCAGAAAATGCAATAACCTGTCAGAGTACCTCAAATTCACTCTGGAAGCATTGTGGAAACTCCCTTTACTAGACAGGTCCATACATCTCCAAATGTGTTCTTTGGAAATAGTTTAAGAGAAACAGAACTGTAATTTTTACCTATGTGGTATCTCCTGGACCTATAGAGGCAATTTGGGCCACATTGTATGGACTTTGACAAGCTATCTGCCTTGGGTAGATTCAATATGGCAACTTATACAGTCATAGAAAGTTATTATATGTGAATCTGCTTCTTGTTCTCACTTTTAACATACTGAAGGCCTAAGTTCATATTTTTGTTCTATGAATAGGTGTAACAGATGATGTTTCATAATGACACTGAAATGAGGGAAATAGCTATTCCAGTCTTCAAACCCTAGAGTATAATCACACATGGGAGATAAAAATGATCCCATGTTTATAAACACTTTATTCTCACAGAATAATATATTGTCCATCCTACTTAAAACAAAACAAAAATATGATATTAGAATATAAATTGTGACTACCAGTATAAATATTAAGCTACATTGCCTCTAAATACTCAGTGTCCATTGTAACAAAATGAAGTGCTTATGATGACCCCCAAGCTGAACGTCTCTTTATGTCTTAGGTTCAAAGGTAAAACTACTGATTCTAGTTGAGAGAATACATGTATAAGATGTCTGAAATTTTATAGTTCAAGTCTTAAAGACTTGATAACATATTACTACATGGATATGTCAACATCAATGATGGTGGAGTATAATTTTCTAAATAGATTCTGTTATGAAGATGTGAATTCCTCATATAGGTAAGATAAAGCATAACTGAAAAGCTGTGAGTGCTTTCTGTGATTACTTCCCAGTAGCTTGGGGTACTGCAAATGTGTTCTGATATATTTCAGGCCACAGTCAGGTTTTTTTTTTTTTAATTTAGCATAATTCATCTGTCAGGGTAGAAGTAATATGGTTGCTCACAAAGGATTTCACATGAAGTTGGATGCTATCATGTAAATCTTGTCTTGAAAGCCGTCTTCTGAACTCATTAGTGGTGAAGTAGTATATAACTGGGTCAAGGCAGGAATTGAGACTAGCAAGACACAGAGCAACAGAATGAAATATCAGAATCACCCTTCTGGCTAGGCAGCTTTTAATTTTGTCAGACTTGACCAGGAAATCTAAAGGAAAACTGAAGTGATAAGGTGCAAAGCAAATTAGGAATACTCCCGCACAGGTGAGAATCATCTTCAAGGCTTTCTTTTTCTCTCCAAGGTCTTGGGCCACAGAATATTTATCTTGCAGTGATAAAACAGCCTTCCAGGTACAATACAGAACAATCAGAAGAGGAGTGACAAACCCAATTAACTCGCCAATGGTCATCATGGCAATGGACTGGGCCAGATTGACATTCCTCATAGGAAGATCCACAAAGCATTTAGTTTTGTTGCCTGGAGTGTCATCACTGGTTCTGAGGAGAGGAAAGAGCAGACAGGCAAGGCAGATGATCAGCCACCCAGCAATGCTGATGTATAGGTCATATTTCTGTTTGCAGTCATGAAAGCGAAAGGGGTACATGAGAAACCAAAATCGTCGCACACTGATGCAGACCAAAAAATAGATGCTTGCATACATGTTGACATACTTCAGGTAAAAACAGAACATGCAGAGGCCAGTCCCAAAAGGCCAGTCATGATTCAAGTAGTAAAAGATCCGCAGTGGTAGGGAGAGAACTTGTAGTAAGTCAGCAATGGCTAAGTTTATCATGAATATCACAGCCCGCTTGGTTTCTTTCATATAGCCATAAAACACCCATAAGGCTAATATGTTCCCTATGAGACCTGGCACAAGAATGACAGTGTATGTCACTGCGTAGATAAAGTATCGAAAATCTGTATTGTCTCCATCTGGCCCAGCACATGTGTCATTAGCAGGCATGTTTCTTTCTAGAGAAACTATCTTTGCCAAATGGTGGCTCAAAATCTAAATTTACAATCAACTCCTGCTCTTTCTCAGAGACAGATCATCCATGGGTTGGAGAAACAGTGTAAAATAACGTTTTTGCTGCATTGATCTGAGCCTCTACATATGATTTTCAAAGAACTATCTGTGTGTTTGCTTTGAATTTGTCTACAGTAATTAAATGGAAGTCTACTGTGCAAGCACAGATGACAAGCCGTTATAATTTCCCCCTCTTTTTTACACTGTTAAAAGGCCTTATGGGAAATCAAGACAATTGATCCTCTCCCATTTGGATCATGAATGTGTCATATAGCAATCCTTCAAATTCCCATATGATGATAGCCGTCACTTTACAGGTGTTTGGCAAGCTGTTTTTTTCTTTTCTTTATTTTTGGCTCACATAGAAGAAAGTTTTGCTTTAGTACTCAGTGGGTCTGCAACTCTTCAGAGATGATCAATGTGGATAGATCAGCTTTTCTGGGACTTTTGCAGTTACGTGTTGAAAGCTAAAAAGTGAGAAACAAAGACAAAGCTGCAAGTGAAGAAAAAAATTATTGTCTAGCACATTTTGCAAAAAAAAAAAGAAAAAAGAAAAAGCCTATGTGTAAAAAAAATCTGTTAGTTTGAATGGAAAGTTCTGATGTGAGAGTGATAATCCACACTTTCTATGAGGTACTTTAGAATCACAGGGAAGTATAGCTAGGCATCTGAGAGGTAATCTAGTACCTTGTTATTCAAAATGTGATCCTGAACCAACATTACTTGAGAGGCTGTTAGAAATACAGAAGAACCTCCTGTCCCACATCAGGATCTGCAGTTTGATAATAACTACAGGTGATTCATAATAATGTTAGAGAGGCCCTGATTTATATCATTGCTTCAGAAACCTCACTGATTGTCAGACTCATTTGTGAAGTTCTAAAAAATGAAGCTTTCCATAGCTTTCTTGGTGTCTCCTCCAGAGATTCTGATTCAGTCATTGGGGCCAAAACATGTTTTTTTTGTTCTTGTTGTTTTTTAAATCATTCCATATAATTCAGATATAGCCAACCCAACATTTTTCCTTGAGTCATTAAGGACATTTAGGGGCCATTGATTTAGTCCAAATCTTTCTCAGATGCCTGAGAAATGGGCAACTAGCCTCTTTTTAAATAATTCTATTTACATGGATCATTTAATCACTTCTTAATTATACAAGACAATGAACCATAGCACCAGTACATAGAATCAAAATTCCCTGAAAGTTGATTCAGCTGGGTCCATGACCTTTGTTCTGAGGTAAACAAAGTTTAACTTCGGGACCTGGATAGTTGCCTCAAGGCTGCAGAAAGCTAGAAGGACTTAACTGACTTTAAAGATATGTGGGGAGAACAAAAATTAAATAGAAATTAGGAAACATCCTGCCTTGGATGATTAAATCCATGTGGATTATTAAATCATGTGGTTTGAAGTGTGCCTGATTCAGCCCTTGAAGCAGTTGTTATTGCCATTATTTTGACTCCATTGCATGGTAAGCAAAATAGTACTTTTTTGTTAAAAAATATGATGCTCATTTTAATTAAAAGGCCAGATGAATGATATAGACTATGCATTCAGATTGAAGAAGTTAAATACTTGAGATTTCTCAGATTATTAGAGAGATGATGTTATAAAATGCAGGGAAGCACAACTGTAAAGAAAAATAATATTAAAAGTGAGATTAAAATTAGAGGTTATTCAGCTTCTAAACTGAAATACATCTTTGAAATATTTTGATTAGGTGGCAAGGAAAAATTAGGTGTCAGACCAAAAAGTCAAAAGCCCTGAGTTTTGAACTTACTTTTAACTATTTATATAAAAAGCATTGCCTACTAATGTCACTGATTACACATTAGAAGTTAACAAATGTACATCCAGTCAATCTTTACTGAACATTCATTCATCTCTCCTATCATGGCAAGTGACTCTTAAATCTATATCTCATCTGAACTATAGCTCTTTTTCCAACTATATATAAAACCTGTTCTCTTGGATGTTTTATTATCACCTTAAATTCACTATAAGTATTTAAGTGAAGTCATCTTTTACATTTATTTAAAATATGATGTATCTTGTCAACTTATGTCATCTCTTTGATAAAAATCTCCTAATGATGTTTTATCTTATTCAGAGGGGGAAAAAAAAAGTCCGTACAATGGCCTGTATCATCCTACATGATCTGGCCCCCAGTTACTCCTCTGACCTCACGTCCTAATTCTCACCCCCTTTCACTCTGCTTCAGCCACTTTTTCATTCTTGCTGTTAGGTGAAAGTATCAGGCACACTTCTGCCTCAAAGCTTTTGAATTGGCAGTTTCCTGTACCTAAAATGCTTTAGCCAAATTATTTACCTGTTTTACTTCCTCATCTCCTTCAGATTTTTATCCATTGTCACATTTTCTTGAGGCTTTCTCTGATCTTCCTATTTAAAACTGCAGCTGTCCTCCAACACTCCCCATCTCCCTTTAGTATTTATTTTATCTATTATCAATCATAACTAACATACTCTATGCTGTTTTTTACTTATTTATTTTGTGTGTGTATATACATATATATATTATGTGTGTGTATGTGCATATATGTGCGTGTGTGTATGTATGTGTGTGTGTGTATGTGTGTGTGTGTGTGTGTGTGTGTATATATATATATATATATATATTTTTTCTAGTAGAATGTAGAATTTATGAAAACAGGGATTTTTGGGTGTTTTGTTTGCTATCTATATACCAGACTCGCAGTGTTAA